GGGCCAAACTTTGATGTCATAACATGGAGTGGATATGATGTAAACGGTTATTCCTTTTATACTAAGCTTCAAGATGAAAAGAGTACAATGCAAAACAGTGGTGTGATGGTAGTTGCTGAATCAATGCACTTTGCTACTTCAAAAGATAATTCTCCTGTAATGGCATCCCTTTCTTATTATGGAGTAATTCAAGATATTTGGGAGGTTGACTACACCAAATTTAGAATTGTTGTATTCAAGTGCAATTGGGTTGACAGTAACAATGGTGTTTTGGTGGATGAATTAGTGTTTACATTGGTTAACCTGAATAAGCTTGGCTATAAAGACGAACCTTTTATTATGGCAACTCAAGCAAAACAAGTCTTTTATATCTCTGATCCAGTTAATAGTAGTTGGTCAATAATGCTTCAAGGGAAACCCATGTCTGGTAGTGATGACCTTGAAGATTTACAACTTCAACAGTTTACCAGTCCATCTTGAGCATCACACATTTTACCTTCTAATGATGACAATGAACAAGATGATGTATATGCCACCCGATTTGATCATGAAGAAGGAATATGGGAAAATTGTTAAACAATAGGTATATTATGGTTTTTACACTATTACTTACTTTGCATGTCTTTGTATTAGTTACTTTGTATTCTAACTCATTTATTTGTCTTATTTTGCAGGAATATGGCCGATTCTAGTAGGTCCGCGAAGAAGGGGAGATGTGCAACACGACTTAGTGAGTTGGCACTAAGTCGAAATGCTGATGAGAGGTTACCGATTGAGTTTGATGACTCGACCGAAAATGCTATTGGGCCTCACGCAACAAAGTTTAGAAGTTATGTTGCACTTCTGGGCCGCAGCAAAGTGAGCATAATAAAGAAGGATTGGGATGATGTGGAGATGCGTTTGAAGGAACAAATTTGGCAAAGCATCTTGGTATGAATTTTTTTCTATTAAATTTACTTGTATTGTTAATTCTTGTAGGATTACTGACCTTGTATTATTTTTTGTAGCTCACTTATAATGTTCCGAATACTGAAGGGCTAAGGAGGAAGTGGATATCATTCGCTGGTGAGCGTTGGAGGGCCTTCAAGACCCAATTGACTTCCACCTATGTGTTTGGAAGCAAGAAAGGAGTGTCTCCTTGTGAGCAATATTCCTTTCTAGACACTGAGACATGGGATAAGTTTGTTGAGAGCCGTATGGATCCTTCTTTTAAGGTTCGTGTGCTTTAAGCATATTCTGCTTTTAACTTGCCCTTTATATATGCATTGGCCTTTTATATATGTAATTCTTTGCACCTTACCCGCAGTTAAATCAACCTCGGGTTTAATTTAACATTGCTGTCTTTAGTTGGTATGAATTCACTGATGAAATACCAGCAGTTTTTTTCAGTATATAGGTAGAAGGAAGCTGTCCCAAGGGGGTTAACATTGCTATGTTTTTTTCAGTATACCAGCATTTAACATTGCTATGTTTTCTGCTGTAATTCACTGATGTAATTCTGCTTTTTTCAGTATACCAGCATTTAACATTGCTATGTTTTTTTCACTGACCGTTTCTTTGAATGTATCTTTATTAGGAGAAACGACAAAAGGCAAAAACAATTCAACAAAAAAATGTATATCCTCACAGGCTGTCCCGAGGGGGTTACCAGCTACTTGAGAGGAAGCTGATAGAAGAGAAGCGTAAAGCTTCTCAAGAAGCCTCTTAAAGTGACCCCTCCGGTGTGACTTCACCTCCATCACCTCCTTCTCGTCATGAGAAGTGGAAGAAGGCACGACAGAGCAAGAAAGGTGACTATACTACGAGATGAGAGTCGTGTTGTGGGACGGAAAATTGTAAGTATTTATTTAAAAAATTGTTCATAATGAGATAGAATTATATATTGTGTCTTCTCTAATCAATTACATTTTCTTTGTAGGATGAATTATTAGAGCAAAGTTCACAAGGGACCTTTACCCCGAGTGGACGACAAGATATATTATCCACTGCTATTGGACGACCGGAGCATCCAGGTCGTGTGCGGGCAGCTGGATGGGGGATTGGCATCCGACAATATTTTGGCAGTCATAAATTTTCCACAAAAAGTGTGGTCATTAGAGATGAGTTGCAGGCCATCAGGGATCAAATTAGGGAAGAGCTTCGGGCAGAGCTAAGGCAGGAACTTGTTTCCTTAGGCTTATCTCAGGGGAACACAGGAGGGGGTCAACAGTGTGTTCAGTGGCGGATCTTGACCATTGATCTTGGAGGGGCCAAATAATATATTATTAATAAATAATAAAAAGAAAAAAGAATATGAAAAGTTGAAAAGATAAAATTGTAGATATATACTTAAATATATTAAATGATCATTAAGTTTGAGGGAAACCAAATCATAAATTATATAAGAGTTACAAAACTGAGGAGGGGCTGGAAGGATAAAATTGTAAATATACAAATAAATATATTAAATGCTCATTATGTTTGGGGGGGCCAAAATCATAAATTACATGGGAGTTATAAAACTTTGGGGGGGCCACGGCCCCCCTCAGCTCCCAAGAAGATCCGCCACTGAGTGTGTTCCCGTAGGTTCTCGCCCTGAGGAACGTGTTAGCACCAAAGGGAGTTGTGCACAGGTTGACGTTCTTGATGATGAGTCAACTCCACTTGGTGAAGACACTCCTAGGCCTCTATGCAAGTTCTTCACACAGGAAGGCTTACTAGTGGCTTATGGTACTGTGCATACATTGGGGCCACTTATACACGGGGTAGAAATGACGGCTCCCGGTCATTGGGGCCACATATAATACAATTTTATCTTGAATAACGGTCATTTCATTCAGTGGCCTAGAGCACTTATCCAGTTTCCTACTGATCAGGTATTATATATTTTCTTTAATAATTTGATACATGTTTATAATTTTATTATTTTATCATAAATTTTAATTTAATTCCTTGATGTGTATAGGACATTTGTGCCTAGCAGAAGGGAAAGGAGAAAGTTCAAGAGGAACTGGACTCAGATCCGATACAAAGGTTATGCCTCTTAGCTTATAAGCTAGGAAAGCATATACCTTTACAGATCCAGATGGACCGTCATGTGATTGGGAATCCGCAGCCCATCACGTTGTACTTGAGTCAGAAGGATATTATGGATGTTGTTTTGAGTCAAGACATGATTTGCGTCACAATTCTCCAAGTCTGGTTAATGTAAGTCTTATGTTTTTATTTAAGTCAATTGGTTGTATGCCCTATTAGACATCAACTTGTCTAAAATGCAATTAACATGATATTTTCAATTTCTAGTTACCTCAACAAAGTTGTTGTGGAAAAGGGAGTAGAAGATGTCTATGGATTCATTGATCCTGTCCACATTCAGAGTTTGGGGAACAAACCAAATACTATTCAAGCATACATTCAAAAGAGATTTTGTGAAGGATCAAAGGAAGTTTATCTCGCACCATATCATTATGGGTAAGTTTTTTTAAATTACTTACTCTCAAACTTTGAATCTCTTAAGAATTGCTAATTGAGCGACATTTTTTGTAGGTCTCACTGGCAACTGCTTATCCTTTGTCCTAAACGTAGTGAGGCTATTTTTTTATGCTCTTTATGGAATAAACCCAAAAAGGAAATTAAACAGATTATTGATGTGTAAGTATACTAACACCCTTATATATGAATTTGTCTTTGTGACTAAATACTCTAGGTTTGGTTCATGACAGATTTAATAACTGTAAACATCTGTGCTTCACTCCTTTGAGCTAAATAGTATCCAGATTTTACTTTTTATATTCATAAGTAAGTATTCATAATAATTGTGCTTCATTCCCAAATCTCGGTCCAGACAACATTCAATTGTTTAAGATGATGTGTAAGTATACTAACACCCTTGTATAATATTTCATTCATTTCATTTTAAGTTCCACATGTCTTAATATGAAGTATTTTCCATTTAATCTTTTATAGGTGTATAGAAGCATGCTCAGTCATGGAGGGTAAGCCTAAAAAGAAACCCACATGGATACTTCCACATGTAAGCACGTTATCTTTCAAATTCTTAACTTTAATTTACTCATTTTCTGTATTTAATGTTTTTTTCTTATAGTGTAATAAGAAAAAAGGAAGTTGGGAGTGCGGATATTATGTGATGAGACATATGTTAACAATCATCACAGCAAATATCACAGATTCATGGAATTTGGTATGTGTTATGACTATATCTATGTCATTGACATATATTTGCCTACTTGTGCTTATCTGAAATGTTTTTTGTTTGTTTGTAGATATTCGATGATGGTCATCCAATAAGTGAAGCAGAGATTGATGACATTAGACAACTTTGGGCAGATTTTGTTATTAAGAACTATAGTCGTGATTGAATACTTAATTGTGAAACATTAGGACTATATTCTTTGTATATATAAACTTAGAATACAATACATGTTCATTGTTTGTTGATAACAATGTAGATATATAATATACATTATGTTTACTTGTGTGTTGATGCATGTCCTTTATAGATTAACATTCTAAGTAGCTGTAAATATTTGCAATGCTGTACAGGTTATGAAAAATCATAAACTCAAATTCGTATTTGAAAAAAATATATGACTTTCCACATCAGTTATGGCCTAGAACCGATGTAGAAAGTCATTTTTAATACTTTCCACATCGGGTCTTGCCATAACCGATGTAGAAAGTCTGATTTTCCACATCGGTTATGGCTAGAACCGATGTGGAAAGTCAGACTTTCCACATCGGTTATGGCAAGATCCGATGTGGAAAGTCAGAGTTTCTACATCGGTTCTTAACCGATGTTAAAACTCACCAAGTTTCTACATCGGTTGTATCTACATCGGTTGTAGAACCGATGTAGAAAGCTGCTAAGAACCGATGTTAAAGGTGTTTTCTGTACTAGTGAGGGTTGTTTATTTATAAATATGAAAATATAAAGGTATAAAGAAAATACAAATATGTGGACCTAAACCCGTTACATCTAACAATTTCCATTCCTAAATTAGGAATACAAGAAAGCTAGGCATATTGTTGTTTGGGATTTGTCTCCATCGTGGGTGGAAAATTGGCCATGTGAAGCAATGTACAGATTAGATGATGTAGTAAGTTTTCTTGGTTAGCTTTGAGTCTCTGTGCTGACATTCTTGATGTGTGCTTTGGTTGGTCTATGGCAATGTGAGATAGTTTTTCCGTGTTGCAGCAGCAGCGCATGCAATTGAATGATTGTGAAATTTGGATTACCTTAAGTGTCAGTTTTCCTCAGTCAATTTCCTTATGCTCTTCTTAAAGCTAGATTACATCTTTTATAGTGATTAAGATTTTTTAAGGTAACAACTTTCTTTACATGTTCAGTGGTGCAGTGGTGGCATTTTATGTCTACAGGTTGGTACTGGACAAACAACAAAATGCTTCAAACTTGGATAATGGTGCAGAAAATTAGTTAAGTCATGCAAGGTTAGCCTATAAATGTTCAATAGTATTGTATTCTGTTCAAAATAACATAAAAGTGAAATATTATGTCATCATATGAATAGTTTTGTTGTGTCACCGTAATTGATTTCTATTTAGCATTAATTGATTATTTAAGTTAGTCAAATATTGGTTTAGCTTCTAGTTTACACGAACTTTCCATTTGTTAAACCCTATTAAGCATCAATCTTGAACTCTGTTAACTTTATCGGGTGCTATGGACACAAGTTTTAGTCTTTGGTTGGTAATTTTGTACTTTTATCTTAGAAATAGTCATTTAACCTGTCTGAGAACATCAACAGATTCCCAAATGACTTGGAGCAGAACACAAAGCAACGAGCAAGACTTCCCTTGGTCAAGTGCTCTATTACGGTGTCTTCAGACTTGATTTTTGAGCTAAGTCGCCGAGTAATCACCAGTTCAAAATCGAATTGATTGTTTTTTACCAAGTTATATACACAAACGATTAATCTATCTAATCGGACCAACTTTGTTCTGGTTTGCGGTTAAACTGGTCGATCAGATTTGACTTTCATAAATATTGGTACACAGTCTGAAGAATCTCAAAGTCAAGTTATGAAGTTGGCATGAATCAAAGGTTGACCACATGAGGCAACCTCTATAGAATATTAGAGCAAGTCTTGGCTTATGTATCCTTTTATAGAATCATCTGACGTTCGAACAATAATATCGATTATTGCCAAATCATAGTGTTTAGCAAAAAATATGCAAGGGTAGCCTTTGCTTTGTAGCCTTTACATGTGTGTACCAGATATGATTGAAAATAGTTCGAGATCTATTAACTATTGATCTTAAGGCATGAATTAGCTATGGATTCAAATATTTAAAATAGTATCAGATTTTATTTCAATAATTATTGTTAGCTTATGTTTGGATTTGAATATGAATTTGAAGGAGAGAAAATGAGTGGATTTGAGGAAAAAGAGAGGTAAAAGTGGAATTGTTTAGATTAAGAGAAAGATAATGAGAAATGAAAGGACACTAGAGAAAGTTTGCAAGTGATGTTATTGGTTTGGTAAATTTTAAAAAAATGTTTTACTTAAAATTGAAAGATTATAATTTTATTAAAAAGTAATTTAAAATAAAATATAGTTGGTGTAAATTATGTTAAAATGAAATGTGAGTTATTATTTAAAATAGAAAAGTTTTAATTGATGAAATTATATTAAAATAAAATGGAATTGGTAGAAATTGATTTCAAGTAAATTATGGTAAATTATTTTAAATACAATAAAATTATACTTTGAATTGATAAAATTATTTTAAATTAAAATGTGGTTGTTTAAAGTTAATTTAAATTAAAGTCACATTAATTTGTTAAAAAAATATGTATTATTTTGATGAGAATAAATTACATGCAATTGTTCAAATGATGAAAATTAATAAAATTAAATTAATTATGAAGTTAAATAATTGTAAAATGTGATTAGTGAAAATTATAATTAAATAAAAATTTGTGTGATTAGTTAACTAAATTATTTTGGTCTATATCATTAATGTTAAATAAAATATTAGAAAAGTATACTAAATTGTAAAAGTATAAAAAGGAAAATTAGAAAAATTTAGAAAGTTAAAAAAAAAAAATATATATATATATATATATATATATATATATATATATAAAATTGGTTTAAGAATTTGATGGTCATACATCATATTAAACATAAAATGAGGAGTAAAATAATATTGAAAAGCGTACTTAAATTATAATAATTGAAATAAAATGAAGTAAACATCAATGATAAAATTTACTTGAAAGAGTCACAAAAGTTATCAAATTATTCTTCCAAACGATTAACTCTTTCCATGTCTCATTCGAAACCTTTATTTATATTTATTTATATTTAGGTTAAAATTAACTAAATCATTTTCTATTCTTTGCATTTTTGCTTGCATGTCGTGAATACTTCCCAAATTTGTTATAACATTTGATCATCATAGGGGACTATTTGGTTAGATCTATTCACGGTGGATAGAGTCTTGTGGTCCAATGTCGACCATATCAGTGACGAATCTTGACCATTGATCTTGGGGGGGCCAAATAATATATTATTAATAAATAAAAAATAAATATAAAAGGAAGAAAGAAAATGAAAGAGTGAAAAGATAAAATTGTAGATATATACTTAAATATATTAAATAATCATTAAGTTTGAGAGGAACAAAATTATAAATTATATGAGAGTTACAAAACCGAGGAGGGACTGAGAGGATAAAATTGTAAATATACAAGTAAATATATTAAATACTCACTACAACAAAAACATCAAATAGTGACCAAATAGTAACCAACCAAAATCGGTCACTAACAAAAACATTAAAAAATATTTTTTAGAAATTTGAATTAGTATTAGATTGAAAGAATCGTTACTAACGAGATTCGAACCAGTACCTTAGAGTTAGAAACTGATACTCCAACCACTTAGCTACTAGGAATTTTTGATAATGGTTTATAAATAAATTATATTTATATACAAATAAAAATATATATCCGTATAAATATATATATATATATATATATATATATATATATATATATATATATATATATATATATATATATATATGTCGGATGTGAGGGCACGCTCGAGGATGAAAGTGTGTCGAGTAGATTTTTAAAATTTGATGTCAAATTTGTGAGCGGTCTCTTTATATGAGTTTATAATTTAATGATAAAATATAATCTTTATAATTTATTTATATAATGATATAAAATAATTTTTTTCTTTATTTATTTTTATTTTATTTTAATTTATTCTTCTTATATTTTTTATTCTTCTATTATTTAATTAAAATTCTTATATTAAAATAATTTTTTCAATATTAAAAATAATTAAATATTTATTTTTAAAATTATTTAATTTAACAAATTATTATAAATTAATCTAATTATGATTATTAATAGAACAATTTTTTCCTAACATATATTATTATAAATTAATCAAAATCATCTTTTAATAATTATTTTTTCCAGACATAGATTAATTCATAATAATTTGTTAAATTAAATAATTTTAAAAAATAATTTTAAAAATAAATATTTAATTATTTTTAATAATGAAAAATTATTTTAATATAATAATTTTAATTAAATAATAGAAGAAAAAAAGATAAAAAGAATAAATTAAAATGAAATAAAAATAAATAAAGAAAACAATTATTTTATATCATTATATAAATAAATTATAAAGATTATATTCTATCATTAAATTACAAATCCATATAAAGAGACTCGCTCACAAATTTGACATCAAATTTTGAAAACTCACTCGACACACACTTTCACCTTCTAGCGTGATCCTCACATCGAACATATAAATATATAAATATATCAAAATATATAAATATATTTGTATTTATATATTTTATATTTATATATTTACATGGATATATATTTATTTGTATATAAATATAATTTATTTGTAAATTTTTATTAAAAAATTCTAACAGTTTAGTGGTTGGAGTATTAATATCTAACTCTAAGGTACTAGTTTTAAATCTTATTAGTAATAATTTTCTTAATCTGATTAAAAAAAATTGTTAATAAGAGAAATTATATATTTTTGTGGAAATTAGAGCAATTAAATTGTTGTTATGGACTAAAATCCAAAAAGGAAAAAATAAAAAATATAATTAAATAAAAGAAAAACTATATACTTTTGCATTTTTATTTTCAAATATTAGTTTTTTTATGAAATTATTTTTAATTAAAATAATTAAAGTGATATATATATATATATATATATATATATTTTTTATTTTTTTTATTTTAATTTATTAATATTATCAAATTTTAGCTTCATGATTAAAAAAATACCAATAATTTAAATTTTATTAATTCTATAATTTTATATAATTATTATTATAAATTTAATTCTCCAATAACTAATAATATTAACACATTTATTAAATTAAAATTCTTTATTTTAATTAATTATTTTGATTTTTTTAACAATTTTTTTAAATAAAAACGATAAAACTTAAAATTAATTTCTAACTAAATCTTCACATATTTATGGTTAATAGTATATTATATTATTATGTTTAATTAAATTTTAAAATAAGTTCACTTAATCTTTACACTTTTATAAAAATACTAATATAAACTTAAAATATTTATCCAATTACTAAATTATTTAAAATATTAATATAAATTTGAAATATCAATTCAATAATTAAAATAATTTTAATTTTTTTATAAATACATTGAAATAAATTTTTATTAACATAAAAGTTATATATATATATATATATATATATATATATATATATATATATATGAGACTAAACTAATAATTAATTTAATCATTGATTATATATATAAAAGAGATTAAATTAATAATTATTTTAATGATTGAATCGGTAATTAATTTAATAATTAATTTTAATTTTTTTATTTACATACTATATTACTAAATTATTTAATAAGTTAATAAACTATTTTTTAAATTTTTTATAATGTTATTAAAATTTTTATCAATTATTTTAAATTATTAAGTAGATTTATATTTAATATATTATTAAAATATTTTAAAAAATTATTTATATAAATAAAAAATAGTCACTAATTTATATATTATTTGTTTAGTGACTGAAATTTTAGTCACTAAATCAGTCACTATATGTAAAAAGAGAAATCGATTATCGATTCAGTTACTATTAGTAACTGAATTTTTCGATCACTAATTTCAATCACTATTAACCATTTTTCTAGTAGTGACTGATTTTGTGACCGAATCAGTGACCGATTTCCGTGACTGAAATTTTAGTCACTAAATATAAAATGGAAATCAGTCACTGATTCAGTTACTATCAGTGACTGAATTTTTCGGTTACTAATTTCGGTCACTATTAACCATTTTTCTAGTAGTGATTCATTATGTTTGGGGGGACCAAAATCATAAATTACATAGGAATTACAAAACTTTAGGGGCCACGACCCCCCTCAGCTCCCAAGAAGATCTGCCACTGAAACTAACCATAATCATCATAGTCAATTACTAATGCTCAAGTGGATTCATATTACATGTCATTTGAGAACACAATTGATCAATCAAATATATTGTTATCAGACTTGATGGTTTCCAATAGAAGTTCAAGTCAATTTATATCACTCAATAAATATTTTATAACCATCATATTCAACTAATGTTTGTACACTCCACTAGACTAGGTTAGTTTGACTCATTAATACTCAAAGTTGTTGTAGAACGTTGGGATTAAATAAAAGCACAAACTCCAAAGATATTATTTACACTCAAGCCAACTTTTCTTACTAGAGCATACTAGGAATAGAGTATATTAAAGTGGAATGGCTTAGAGACAGTTTTTGTGAACTCTAACCTTGTTCACTATCCATTGTTAAAAGTTGTCATCAGTGGCGGATATTGACCATTGATCTTGGAGGGCCAAATAATATATTATTAATAAATAATAAATAAATATAAAATGAAGTAAGAAGATGAAAAGGTAAAAAGATAAAATTGTAAATATATACTTAAATATATTAAATGATCATTAAGTTTGAGGGGGACAAAATCATAAATTATATGAGAGTTACAAAATTGAGGAGGGGCTGGAAGGATAAAATTGTAAATATACAAATAAATATATTAAATGTTCATTAAGTTTGGGGGGCCAAAATCATAAATTACATGGGAGTTACAAAACTTTGGGGGTCACGACCCTCCTTAGCTCCCAAGAAGATCCGCTACTGGACCACATCATCATTGGGTATTATAGGGTCTTCACCGTCATCATTTGGATTGTTATGGTTTCACCACAAGAAATTTTATAATTAGCTAAGAAAATTTGTTACAAAATTTATTTTTCACTAATTTGTAGTTATGGAATAGTGAATGAATAAGGTTGTAGCTAATTTGTAGTAAAATAGCTAGAAAACTAATATTTTTGTAGTTATTCCCTCACTTAGCGAGAAAAATAATTTAGTTAGGAAAATTTTTGTCACTAATCCCTTGCTATCAATATGAGCTATATTATTTTTTGAAGTTATTTCCTAACTAAATTATCTAACATATAATCATAGCTAACTTGTAACAAATTTATAGCAAATATCAAATTGAAAAGAGTATTAAATTACTGAAAATTATTATCTCACATTTTCAATATAAATTTGCTAGAGATTTCTTTATATATCTCTTATAAATACAAGTCAATTTTCTACTAAAAATTATTTTTTTTCTGTATTTTTTTCACAAAAATTATTTACAAAAAATACTTGTAAATTTCTCTAAAAATATATAATTATAAAAAATAATGTTGATCATTTTAAAAAAATATCAACAAAAATTATTTGTAAATTTTTCTTAAAAAAATTATTTGAAAATTATTTTTACCAAATTTACTATAAATATATTAATTATATATATATATATATATATATATAAATTATTTTATGTATCTGAAATAAATTATTTAGAAATAATTATAATTTTTTTGAAAAAATATCTAAAAAAATTGATAAATATTTAAAATTATTTTATGTAATTTTTTATAGATTTAAATTTATCAGAAGTATTTAATAATATTTAAATTAGTAGAAAATTTAATAAATAATATTTTTTTATAAATTTATTTTAAAAATTAGTCTTTATATGAAATAAAAAATTATTATATTTAAATATTTATTTAATTAAATATTATTTTAAATATAAACATCTTTATTTATAACAATAAAGATATTTTTTAATCTTTACCCTTTCTTCAAAAATTCTCTTCCCACAACGAATTAAATCTCCATCTCACTTTCAACTAAAACCTAGTTCACGCTATTATCGTTGCCACCGCTGCCGCCCCTGCCGCTACCGCAATCGGCGTTTCTGCCACCATATCAAGTTATCCTAAGTTTCTTAGAATCAGAAGTTGCTTTGTTTTGTTTATAATTTGCTGTAATAAATAAAAGAAAATTAGGAGCCTTTATGCGAAGTTAAAGTTGGTTATTGGCAGGGTGGATATTTAGCATTGATTATGACGAGGTCAAATAATATATTATTAATAAATAATAAATAAATATAAATGGGTAAAAGAAGATGAAAGTATGAGAGGATAAAATTGTAAATGTATAAATAAATATATTAAATGATCATTAAGTTTAAGGGGACAAACTCATAAATTATATGAGAATTAAGAATAATAAGAGAATAAAATTGTAAATATACAAGTAAATATATTAAATAATCATTAAGTTTGGGGGATCAAAATTATAAATTACATCGAGATTACTAAAACTTTCGAGGAAGAAGATCCGCCAATGCTTCTTGGCACCCAGTTGAACATAGGTTTGAATTGGGAACCAGCCTCTTTGCTTGCAAATATGCTAGAGTAAGGTTGCATTACAATAACCCTCAACCATACCTTTGTATAGCCAGAAACCTTACAGCACTGGGATACGCTATTTTATTTATTATTATTATTATTTTATAAATGGTTTTGAGTAATTTGCATTAAATTGTTATGGACATGGACTAATTAATTTAATATTTGAGTTAGTTTTCTTTGAATCCATCTCAGATTCAAGTTAAATCTGTGATAAAAACCCAGAAAATTTTGGGTTGTTCTAAGTTGATTTAAATTCAGATAAAAAGGCTGAGTAGAATGACTTGAGTTAATTTGATGTTTATAAGTAAGAAGATAATTATTAAGATGGTGATGTTACCAGAATTTTTTGTTTCCTATTTTGGATATATGAATTAGTAATTGTAGCCTAATGTAGTGTTGCTCTCTTGTGTGCTATTAGTAATTGTGATGTATGCTTATTTTTATAATTAACATATTATTGTTAGTTTAATGAATTGAAAGCTGAAATTGGGTGATATTTGAATAGATGAAGGAACTAGAGAAGGGAATATCAGAAAGATTGGGGGAGGAAGGATTTGGGTGGTGAAAAGGAGGGGGAGATTGAGTGTAGGGTGGGCTTGTGCTATCAGTCTGGGTTTGTACTAGTTGATTCTAGATTATAGGACAAACTCAGTTCATTTAATTTTTACAAAATCTGAAATGCACTAGTTGATTCTAGATTCTAGATTCTAGATTAAGCAACTCCATTTTCATTTATTATGACAGAAGTACTGCTAGCACTACTAACTTGATTTACAGTTAAGTAGGAGTTGTGGCCTGTGTATAAGAAATAATGAGCCAAAGGAGAAGTCATGTCATGATGCACCTGTAGATCCAAAACACACCAAAAATATGAGAAAAGTTCAAAATATATATAATTAGAAGATCAGATTAAGTGCATGAAATTATAATAAAATCCTCAAACTATCAGCGGTGAACCAAATATATAGTATAGTACCTCAGCAAGGGGACCATTAAGGTCACTGAAGAGGTAACAATATGCTTTTGGAGTCTAAATTTCCCTTACTTTGTACATAGCTAGGCAAAGACAGATACCTTATGCTTGTGGAGCATGAATATTGTGCCAACATGAAAATTATAAGAGTTGAAGTCTTTTCTAAAGCCTCCAAATGACATTAGATGAAATTAGGTACTTGTTCACTTCTTTTCCATTTTCAGTAGCTTCACTATAAATAATCAAATCACCTAGAGTTACAATAATTGATTGAATCACCAAAATTCTGATGATGGTGAGTTGTAGTTCCAAAAAACACAACCTAACACGCGTATAACTCAAGTAAAACTAGTTGTTCCTTCCAATTTAAAAGACAAATGAGATGATAGCCTTAACATCCGTAGGGAAGTCCTCAAACTTAGAAAGAAACCATTCCTAGTTGAATAACTCCTACCCAACAAGTAGAAAGCAGTGCCTACAGTGAAACAAAAATGTATATAATGTCTGAGAATCTCAGAAACATCACAATGCCAGGATACAACAAATTGATTGGTGGTTCTGGAAGCCCATGTGTTAAGTGTTGAGCATAGGTCATAGTAGCAGCTGACAGGAAATAACTTAGAGTGATGGGGATTGTAGAATCAAGAGCTATTCCACCACTATATTTGTGAATAAATAGAACCTACACATCAACAATAAAAATTATGATTATAATTATTTAATGTAATTTTATTCATATTTTTGTTTTTCCAGGAGCTCAGATCTTGAGATGTAGTTCATATTATTAACTCAACTTGGCTTCTTAACTTGGACATAAGTGAAATTACAAATTTAAAAACACCAAGTGACAGGTACAATATCTATCTCCTACAATATCTTTTTAATTTGTATTTTCTTAAAGGTAGTCACTACAAGAAAATCGCGTATTACCGACGGATATTTACCGACGGATTTAAATCCGTCGGTAAATAATTATTATCGACGAAAATTACCGACGGATATAAAATATTTGTGGAATTTGATTTTACCGACGGATATATCCGTCGGTAAAATAATAATTAGTTACCGACGGATATATCCGTCGATAAATCCGTTGGTAATTTACAGATAAATTTACCGACCGATACATCCGTCGGTAAATCTGTCATGTAAATCCGTCGGTAAATTAACAATTAGTAAATATTCACCTAATTAAAAAATTAAATATTTTTTATTTAATAATTTAATTTAATCATAATTAGATTAATTTATAATAATTTCTTATATTAAATAATTAAAAAAATAAATATTTAATTATATATAAATATATATAAATATATAAATATATAATTATATAATTATATAAATATATAAATATATAAATATATAAATATATAAATATATAAATATATAAATATATATAAATATATATAAATATATAAAAATATATAAAATATAAATATATAAATATAAAAATATATAAGTATATAAGTATATAAGTATATAAGTATATAAATATATAAGTATATAAATATATAAATATATAAATATATAAATATATAAATATATAAATATATAAATATATAAATATATAAATATATAAATATATAAATATATAAATATATAAATATATAAATATATAAATATATAAATATATAAATATATAAATATATAAATATATAAATATAAAAATATATAAATATATAAATATATAAATATATATAAATATGTAAATATATAAATATATTTGTATATAAATATAATTTATTTGTAAATTATTATCAAAAAATTATGGTAGCTTAGTGGTTGGAGTATCAGCCTTTATCTCTAAGGTACTTGGGTTCGAATCTTGCCAATAACAATTCTCTTAATCTAATAATAATTAAAGGCTTTAAAAATGTAATAGGGAAAATATTTAATAAACGAGTAAAAATATTACCGACGGACTATTAAATCCGTCGGTAATATTTACTGACCGTCGGTAGTATTAAAATTTCTTGTAGTGAGTTAATTTGATTAAGATTTTATTAAGTTTTTGTTACACATGGGTTCACTCTGCTTTGGCTTATGATATTTCACATCATGGTCATAATAAAAGCTTGATAGAGCGAGGTTGACAATGTGAACATGTTGATGAATTAAACATAATCCAACATTAGAATTTATTCTAAAGAATATTAGAATTTAAGTTTGTAAAAACTTAATAATTTTTTTTTTGAAAACATAAATTTTTTAATTTTGTTAAACCAATTGTAAGAGTAATGAGACCAAATCGAAGATGGATGTTACAAAGAAATAATCAATTCAGTATTATAATTGAATAATTCAGAAATGGTGTTGATGGTTTTATTCAAATAGCGACAAGAGACCCGAAATTTACTGATGTAATAGGGCATATTCCTTGCCCATGTGGAAAATGTAGGAATCGTTATTAGAATATCCATGGAAAATGTAGTAATCGTCATTTAATGTGGAAAAGCATTTGTATCACCATAGATTTATGGATGGTTACACAAATATCCTTCATGGTGAGGAAAGAAGGACCAATGATGTATCAACTTCTGTCTTCTTTTATACAATACTTTTGAAACATCATTTTGACTATGTTTAAACAATACTTTTATATTGAAAATTGATAAGTTTGTCTTCTTTTTTTCAAGAATATGAGTATGATATTATAATATTACGATGATACTTTAGCAGGAATATCTACTACGGCAATAATAATAATTAGAAAATTACTTGCAAATGAAATTATGAGAGATTAGCTATAGATTAGCGAGAGAATAATTTTGATATATAGTAGCGACAAATAATTATGAGGGATTAACCACGAAATAGCGAGAGAAACATTGCGAAGGATTAGCTACGGATTAGCAAGAGAAACATTATTACGGATTAATTATGGATTAGCGAGGAATTAATTCAAGATTAGCTAGAAATAAATTGTCAGGAATTAGCTACATATTAGCGATAAAACAATTGTAAGGGATTAGCGATAAAAAATTGCAAAGGATTAGCTACGAATTAGCGATAGCGAAATTGCGAGGGATTACCTACGAATTAGTGAGAGAAAAATTGTGAGAGATTAGTTATGTATTAGCGAGAGAAAAATTGCGAGGGATTAACTACGTATTAGCGAGAGAAAAATTGAGAGGGATTAGCTACGAATTAGCTACAAGGTAACTTGAAATTTAGGAGATCAATTAGCTAGAGAAAGACAAAATTTTATCACTTAAATTAGCAAGGGAGAGCGACAAATTGACAACAAAATTTGCTACAAGTTTGAGAGAGAATATATCTTTATCTAATTAGTTACTTGAATTTAGCAACAAAATATTCCATAGTTATTCCATAGCTAATCTGTAGTAAAATGTATCAGCGAGAGATTAGTTATAAAATAGCTACGGAATGTGTCATAGCTAATATATAAAATTATTGTAGTGTTTACCCTTCCATGTTCTCATACACCGTTGATGTTAACAACATTTAATTTGCTGACCACTTTTCTACCAGAGTAATGTGTCAACCCAAGACGATGGAAGAATCGAAGGTAAAGTCGATGTCATAATGAACCATTATGCATGTTATGAAAATATTGTATGGAAGGTACATGTTATTGTTCCTTCATTTCAACATAATATGATGCAATAAATTAATCAAAATATTATTTTTAAAGGCCCACAACATTTAAATATCTTCTTGTAACAATTTGGCAAAAATTATGGCCTCAGGAGTCAACATATCATATGAACAAGGAGGTAATGCAGAAGTTTGTCATTGATATTTAGACTTCCTACATTCCTCACATTGCAACCTTGAATCTCTAGTCTAACCATGGAGGTCAATGTCATGTCTTGGTCATATTGCATGTCTTCAGAGATAGTAGGAAATGACAACTTGTGACCTTGATATTTTGGATTAGCTAGACTCAACCAATCTGTATGTGTGATTTTGATCTTTGTCCTATTAACCTCAGTGTACAGGTATCTCCGATTTTTCATTTTGAGGTTTGTGTAAAAACTCGAACGAGGTCATCGAACTATTCAATATTTAGCATCAAGAACTATGCCACACCTTAGAACTATAGATGATGATGGAAGTCCAATCCTAATTGCACAAAGTACGAAAAATTCATTATTTTTGGACTTAAAACTTTCCTCTCATTAAAGGTCTTATTAAATTTTACCATATGCTCATGTGTGTTGAATCAATGGGTCTGATTTAATGTGTTCTTAACATATGAATGTTGTGTAGGAGGAACTGCATGATTAGATGTAGGAGTATGATCATATGCAACAACTTATCTTTTCTTTTCTTTGTCCTAATAATTCATTGTCTTTTAATCGATGAAGAGGAAATCATACCTATAAAATGTTCAAGATATGAAACATCGGTTAATATGAAAAGATCATTCATATGAAAAGTGTGAATACAAGCCTTAATAACATAATGCAATTAATCATAATCACTATAGGAAATAAATGAAGACATAAATTCAAATGAAAATAAATGACATAAATATTATAAGAATTTTGTCGTATTACAATATTACATATTTAGATAAGTACATCAAAGTGAAGAAGTTTTAAACCCTAAAGACAATAGCATCACCAAATGAGTAATGTGGTTAAGTTCCACTAGCTACGATAGGAAATTGTTTATTTAAAACACTAAATATTCTTTCAATTACATTTCTAAGTAATGCATGACAAATATTAAACAACTCTCTTAGATTTTGGGACCTCTTTAAGTGTACCTTTTTAGGAAATATCTAATGTTGTACTAGAATATTATTATATTTGACTTTAACATAAAACTAACATCCTCAAGGTAGTAATTTACTATAATTATTGTACTTAAGATTATATTCAATAATTACTAAGTGAGCAGAAATGAAGTGCAACAAATTCCATACAACTCATCTTGTGGAATAATCAATGGATCCTCTCAAATAAAGACATCCTACAATATTCGTGAATAAGATGTTATTCCTTCCCACCCGTCTAAAACATATGTAAGTTTCATGTTGAAATCGCAAGTTATAAATACGTTTTGCAATGCCCAATCTTTTCCTCCCCAAAAACAAGAGACATTTTCTTGTGGAACCCTACCACGTACATCAATGTCATCTATTGTCCCTAAACAATCGTAACAAAAATTGGTGGTGTAAATAACAAGTAATACATTATATATGTGAAGTAACACTATACTTTGAACAATATTACCTTAAAGTATGAGTAAAATTGACTATTGTTTCAAACATAAGGTTGGACATCCGTCCTAGATGGCTGAATTAAGAATTTTGCCTCGAATATCAATATTGCATTCAACACATTATGAAAGTGTTGAGAAAAGGTTCTCCCATACCGATGAAAAAGAATGAAATACTTCTATTATTCACGTTATGTCCAATAATGTAAAAAAATCTTGGTTTTCGTTCTCCAACGGTTGATCGAAATGTATCTTTTACCAATCCAGTTGCCCTTAATCGTTCATATAACTTAATAAATGTTTTAGGTTCCATATAAATAATGTTACAAGATTATTTTTTGTACACTAAATATGACAACCGACACTCTTTTTATAGAACAAACTTTGAAATATTTAGAATAAATCATTATTATTAGTTTAATACGATATTTTATTTGTTGTTGTAAATATTGAATTAATTTAATGTTGCAGCTAAGAACACTGTTATCAATATTTTGTTAGTAAAATATTTTGACCAATCATTCTCATGTGCCATTTTACAACTAATTTAAAAAACAAGCCTCTATAATTTTCCATTACCTTTACCAAAATTATCTAAAAATAAATTATAAATTTACAATTTAATATTTATACTTCACAATTGATTATAATATTTTATATACTCAAGGTCTTTTCAGATTTAAAGAAACAATAAAATTTTACCAAGTCACTTTTCATTTTTTATATTAAATACTAATATAACACGATCATAATCATGTTCTATTACAATATTTATTCATTTATAATTTACATATATTTATTTTGGTACTTTTTAACACATATTTATATTATAATTACACAAAACTTTTTATTTCTATTCATTCCCACGTACTTAATCCTAATTTCATAAAATATTATTATACATTATATTTATACTAAATTTTTTAATATCGTTTTTATGATAAATGATATATTTAATATAAACATCATAAATTAATATTATAGAACAAGTTATACTAAAATTTTTAGTATATGTTTATCATAAATGATAATGTAATAAAAAATTTAACATAAATTTAATATTAATTTTTTTTAATATGTTACAAATATACTTAAATTTAACTTATTTTTTAAAAAATTATAATAAATGATAATTTTCTACAACTATATAAAAATTTTAATATATCAAATTACATATGAAATTTTAAATTTTGTATATTAATTAAGCTTACAAACATTATTTTAAATCAATCTTAAACTTAATATACAATGAATACTAAATTTAATATACCAAATAATGAGAGCGATTACTTGTAAAATTAGAAGAGAATCAATTATGACGTAAGATGACAGGAGAATCAATTTTGGTGAAAAATGAAATAGGATAATCGATTTTGGGTGTAAAAATGAGAGAAAAGAGAATCAATTATCTATTGTTACCCAAAAACTCTGGCACACGATCCATTCTTACCTTACCAACACACACCTCACATTTCATTTCAAGCACAATAAAACCAACGTCAAGATTCACAAATGCACCACATCAACCAAACCAATCCACCACCACCCAAGTTCATAATTACCACAGAGGAACTACTACGATAAGGACACCAACCCAACTTCAAAAACTCAGAACCAACACTACCTTTCAAATGGACAACACTAAACATAACCACATCCACCACAAAGCTCAATTCTCAAAACATAGTATCAATGGTCTAATCAGTACTCATTCACGCACTTTTAATAATATATTTAAAACTTCAACCACCAACCAATCATGGTCTAATCAATGCATGCATGGAATCTTTCAAGAATATAGTATCAAGACGTGATTACAAATCTCTTGCACAATAGGGATTTTTTTTGTTGCCACTGTAGTTGGTCTTCACCCTAGGCTACCCAAGTACTTGTAATATGTAAGTGTTGTAACTTTAGAAAACATTCATGATTTTTGTTCCCATATTTAATAATTATTTTTAAAATTTTGTAATTTATAATTTTTGATCCCTTAAATTAAATATTTTTATTTATATATTTATAAATTTGACATTTTATTTTTTTATAGTCTTTTATTTTTAAAAAGTTTTTTATCATTTTATATTTATTTATTATTTATTGATAATATATTATTTGGCATTTTTTAAATTAATTATTAAACTCATATTTAATATTTTTTTTTAATTTTGTAATTTATGATTTTTTATTCTTTAAATTAAATATTTTTATTTATATATTTATAGATTTAACCTTTTATTTTTTTATAGTCTTTTATTTTTAAATTTTTTTATCCTTTTATATTTATTTATTATTTATTGATAATATATTATTTGAGATTTTCTATATTAATCATTAAAATATATTTCTTCACAAGAAAAAAAAGTTAGGTTAACGATCATTAATACTAGAGGGTGATATTTTGATAACCAGAAATTATATAACCCTTCAAATAATTCACTTTTATTAATATAATAATCTATAGAATAATTTAATAAAAATCAAAATAAAGTAAAATTATTATTATAATATTAGAAGATAGTTGTTTATAAGAATTATATAGATTTAGGTTGTCAAAGTATCACTTTCTTAATATTAATTAAATAATTATGATTATTATTATGGAAAATGATTAATTGACAACCCAATTTTGATAAACGGGGTTATCTAATGAATATATTTTTTTAGGTGACGTCAAAATATCAGTACTTTATGAAATTTATTTTAATTTTATTAAAAATAAGGTATAGGGAACTCCATATGTCCAAATTTTATTGTGGAGCCCATCATGCATGAATGTGAGGATAGAAGAACATTAAGATTGTATGTCTAAATCTTGTTTGTGTCTTGTCATACTCCAATTAAAACAATTGACATTGACCAAATTGTGAGTCACTTCTTTGGTCTTCTTTGCAATCCCCTTGAACTTTCCCATTTTGAATGAACAATTGTTAAAGTCATTACTATATTTTCATGCACGTGATTGTGTTTATTATTATTGAAATTTGATATTTTGCCTCCAAGTACACGGAGAAAACTGAGCAAGGGACGTTGGTCCATGGTTTGTGATTTTTCCATCTAAATTACTTTGGAGTCCATGGCCAATACCGCGTTTCCTTTTTGTTTTATTTGTATTCTAAATCAACCATCAACGTGGTTACTTAATCAATACTGTTTTCTAAATGACATATTTTTCTAAATTTTTTATAAAATTATGGTGTTTGTTTACTAGAACCCATTCATAGTCTTTCATTTAAAAGAATGGCTTGAAGATGAACTTAGCACACAGTAGCATGCCAATGGCCCCTTCAACACTCATTTTGAATCTTCTCCTTGCTCTAATATTTTTCCAAAATTTCGATGATTCATCATCGTTGTCTCTTTCCGTAGAGAATCTGAAAGAAGACATAATAGTGTCATCACCCAAACAAACATTCACCGCAGGCTTTTACGCCGTAGGAGAAAACGCATACTGTTTCGCAATATGGTATACCCAACCACCCCACACCGTTATTTGGATGGCCAACCGGGACCAACCGGTAAACGGAAAACGCTCCACGCTTTCCCTTCTCACAACCGGTAACCTCGTACTCACCGACGCTTCTCAGTTCCAAGTGTGGTCCACAAACACCGTCGCCACATCCAAACGAGTTCAGTTAAGTTTGCACGACACTGGGAACCTCATACTGCTCGAAAGCCAAGACCGTTCCTCCAACGTTGTTTTGTGGCAGAGCTTCGATTTCCCAACCGACACGCTTCTTCCTGGTCAAATTCTGAGCAAGAGCACCAACCTCGTTTCCTCGAGAAGCGGGAGCAACTACTCCTCCGGTTTCTACAAACTCTTCTTCGACTTCGAGAATGTTCTTCGCATCATGTACCAGGGTCCTCAAGTTTCCAGCGTTTATTGGCCAGACCCTTGGCTTCAGAACAACAACTTCGGAAACGGTGGCGCGGGAAATGGTCGATCCACTTATAACGATAGCAGGGTGGCTGTGCTTGATGATTTCGGCTACTTTAATTCTTCCGATAACTTCAGTTTCAGAAGCATTGATTACGGGACGGTGCTTCAACGGAGATTGACCCTCGACCACGACGGTGGTGTGAGGGTGTACAGCCAGAACGATGGGGAAGAGAAGTGGACAATGTCTGGGGAATTTCGCTCGCATCCATGCTACGTTCATGGGATTTGTGGAGCCAACAGTTATTGCAACTACGAGCCTTCCAGTGGTAGAAGGTGTTCGTGCCTTCCAGGTATGAGAAGAAAATAGCTTCAATAAAAGTTTTAAAGGAATTCAGTTTGTCTCACTGTAAGTTTTTTGTACACTTCTCCAAAACCAGGTTTCAGTTTTTTTCCTGTGATGTTTGCAGAAGTATTTAACTACTTTGCTGAAGATTAACTTGTTGTGGACCATTTTAATTAGTGGAGTTTTCGTTTCTAATTGTGTTTCTTCGTCAACCAGTCTTAAATACGAGATCTTTGAAAAATGAAAATTCAATCTACTCCGATCAACAATTAATATGTAAATAAACTGGTTCTGTTTATATTTAAGTTAACTTACACGTAAAAATTTTACGTCGTTTTACTCAATTCAACAACATATTTATAAACTTATTCCGTTTTCTGTAATAATATATTATGTTCTTTTCGTGTAATTGTTTAATGAAAAAAAATGATGTAAATAGGTCATTCCTGGGTTGATAGTGAAGACTGGTCTCAAGGTTGCAAACCGAATTTCCAACATTCGTGCAGCGGCAGCAACGCCGAGTATGAGTCTCGCTTCCTGCGCATACCTGATGTTGATTTCTATGGATACGACTATGGCTACTTTGGAAATTACACCTATCAACAGTGTGAGAATCTCTGCTCGCAGATGTGCGTATGCAAAGGGTTTCAATACAGCTTTTCAGAGGCAAATGCTTTCTTTCAGTGCTACCCAAAGACGCATTTGCTTAATGGGAACAGTCAACCAGGGTTCATGGGCTCATTCTTCCTGAAACTTCCATTATCGTCCCATGATGAGTATAAGAACACCATCCAAAATAATAGCTTGGTTTGTGGGGGAGATAGTAAAGGAGTTGAGGTGCTTGAGAGATCGTATGTCCAAGAGGGAAAAAATGGATCAGTGAAGTTCATGCTATGGTTCGCAACTGTCTTGGGAGGAGTTGAACTATTGTGCATCTTTCTGGTGTGGTGTTTTTTGTTTAGGAATAATAGGACGTTACCCTCAGGTGCTGAGGGACAAGGGTATGTTCTTGCAGCAGCTGCGGGTTTCAGGAAATTCAGTTACTCTGAACTGAAACAAGCCTCTAAAGGTTTTAGTGAAGAGATTGGAAGGGGTGGTGGAGGTACCGTTTATAAAGGTGTCCTGTCTGATGATCGAGTTGTGGCGATAAAAAGACTACATGAAGTAGCAAACCAGGGAGAAAGTGAGTTCCTGGCTGAAGTAAGCATCATTGGAAGGCTTAACCACATGAATTTGATTGGCATGTTGGGGTATTGCGCAGAGGGAAAGCATAGGTTGTTGGTTTATGAGTACATGGAGAATGGTTCCTTAGCTCAGAATATATCATCAAGTTCAAATATACTTGACTGGAGTAAAAGGTGTAACATTGCCCTGGGAACAGCAAGGGGTCTGGCATACTTGCATGAAGAATGCTTGGAGTGGATTTTGCATTGTGATATTAAGCCCCAGAATATACTTCTTGACTCTGATTATAAACCGAAGGTAGCGGATTTTGGCTTGTCGAAGCTACTTAACCGGAACAATCTCAACAATTCAAGCTTCTCAAGGGTAAGAGGGACAAGAGGTTACATGGCACCGGAATGGGTTTTCAACTTACCAATCACTTCCAAGGTGGATGTCTACAGCTATGGCATTGTTGTCTTGGAGATGATCACTGGAAGGAGCCCAACAACAGGTGTCCAAATCACAGAATTAGAAGCAGAGTCACCTCATCCTGAGAGGTTGGTGACATGGGTGAGGGAGAAGAGGAAGAAAGGATCAGAAGTGGGACCATCTTGGGTGGATCAAATTGTTGACCCAGCTTTGAGATCAAACTATGACATGAAAGAAATGGAAATATTGGCAACGGTGGCTTTGGAATGTGTAGAGGAAGAGAAAAATGCTAGGCCCAGCATGAGTCAAGTAACAGAGAAGCTGCAGAGTCATGTGCACATGATTGTTGATGGTTTGAACAAAGAATAGTCTTACCCATGCATCTCTCTTATGACAGCAAAGTCACTTCCAGTTTTTTATAATAATACAATTATTATTTTTAATTCAGTTAGGGGGTAATGTGTGTATCTTTTTTTTTTTTTTTTTTCATTTGTTTGTTTCCATGTTCTCTTGTTAAATAGTTCAGTTAAATAAGACTGTTAAACTAGTATGATTTTTGTTTCCAAAATGTCTTCTTTTTCAGCTGTGTAAAACTAGTTTAAGGTAATAATCAACCAGATTTCTTTTTGCCGTCAAATTTGACAATCTCTGTAACAAACTAGTTGACTTTGAAATGCTCTTCTGCCATGTTTCCCGACACTGGTATTTATTTCCAAAACTCAAGCTATTTGCGAAATAGTAGAAGAAACCTGCTTCGTGTACCATTTTATCACGCCACCTTGACTCTCTGGAAGAAAAAATGGTATGAAAAAGATAATTAAACAACTCATCTATACAGCCTTCCAACTTTTATGTGATAAAATCTTTTATGTTTTTTATATTAATAATTTCAGTTGTGTAATAGATGTTTTTTTTTTTCAATAAAATGTTACTGTGGAAAGAGCAGTGATTTGTTGATAATTGATTAACAACCTCTGTTATTAATATAATAATAGAGTGATGATATTTTGACAACTAAAATCTATACAACCCTTGTAAATAACTCACTTTTATTAATATAATAATCTATAGACTGATTTAATAAAAATAAAAATAAAGTAAAACTATTATTATAATATTAAAACAATTAATATAATAATCTATAGACTGATTTAATAAAAATAAAAATAAAGTAAAACTATTATTATAATATTAAAACAGAGTTGTTTACAGGAGTTGTATGGATTTGGGTTGTCAAAGTATCATTTTCCTTTAAAATGATACGATCAAAAAACTACTTAAATTTCTTATAATCATATGCCATTAATTCAATTTAACCATGTAGGCCTCACTGACTTTATTTAGAATTTCTTAGTTCTTGCATTTTAAATTTATGTTTCTCATCCGTTTTTCCAATAAATTATAATATAATTCTTTCAAATGTTATTTTGATTAAGATACATATAATTAATATTAATCCTCTTTTAAGTCTTTGGTTCCTTAAAAACATAATACATACATAGTATATATATATATATATATATATATATATATATATATATATATATATATATATATATATATATATATATATATATATATATATATATATATATATAATTGAAAAATATAGAACTCATTTTATAATTTTATTCATATTTCTTTTGAATACGAGATACCATATTCTTATAGTATTTTACTCCTATAAATCAAGATTAAATAAAATAAGTTCCGATTATGTACTATTTTGTATAGTTATACAAACATATAATTTAGCTAATCAAATATCTCCATCTCAACACTCCCCCTCAAGTTGGTAAATAGATGTCATACATTCCCAACTTGTCCAATAATCTCCTAAAAATATGACTTGTTATAACTTTGATAAGAATGTTTGTCAACTAATCTTCAGATCAAATATTTGGTAATTCCAGAATATTTTTATCAAAATTTTCCTTGATGAAAAATCTATCAACCTCCACATGCTTCATCTGATCATGTTGGACAGGGTTGTGAGCAATGTCGCGCGCAGTTTTATTATCACAATACAACTGAATGAGATATGTATGTGCATACCCTAAATCCTAGAGAAGTAGTCTGAGCCACAAACCTTCACAAAGTCCAAGAATCATTCCTCTAAATTTAACTTTTGCACTGGATCTAGCTACAACTTTTTGCTTCTTGCTTTTCCATGTGATAAGATTACCTCCTACAAATGTAAAGTATCCAGAGGTTGATCTTTTATCATCAAGAGCACCTACCTAATCTGCATCGGTATAAATCATCACATCCTTGTAGTTGAAGTTCTTCTTGAACATATCGATGTGTTTTTCATCTAGATTGTGCATGAATTGACTAACCACACTAAGAGCATAGGCTAAATCTAGCCTGGTGTGTGAGAGATACATTAATCTCCCTGCAAGTCTCTGATATCTTCTCTTGTTAGTTAGAGTTTGATCTTCTTCAATGCATAACTTCAATCCTCCTTCAATTGAAGAATTTATTGGTTTGCATACTATCATTCCAGTTTCTTTCAGTAAATCCAATGCATATTTTCCCTGTGAGAGAAAAATACCTGACTTTGATCTTGAGACCTCATTTCTAAGAAAGTACTTCAAAGGATCAAGATACTTCATCTCGAATTCCTTTGTCAAGTACTCTTTCAATGTCTTGTGTTCCTCTAGATCATCTCCTGTAACTATCATATCATCAACATAGATAATAAGAATTGTAATCTTTCCTTCCTTTTTTCTTTAGAAACAAGGTATGATCTTGGTTGCTCTGTTGATATCCAAAAGCAAGCATTGACTTGGTGAATCTACCAAACCATTCTCGTGGCGATTGCTTTAATCCATACAATGACTTCTTCAACTTGCATACCTTCTTGCTATGTGTATTTAGGACCCCACATCCTTTTGGTAGATCCATATAAACTTCTTCAAACAATTCCCCATGTAAGAAGACATTTTTTACGTCAAATTGTTGTAAGGACCAATCAAGGTTTACAGTTAGACATAACAATACTCGAATTGTGCTTGGCTATGGGAGCAAACATTTCAGTGTAATCGATTCCGTATGCTTGTGTATACCCCTTTGCTACTAATCTAGTTTTAAATCTCTTAATTGTGTCACTTCTTTGCGCAAGATTTCTCCACGAACTTGCTCAAAATCATCATCCAGTCCAACAAGGAATATATGCACCCTCAATCTTTCAATAGACTTCTGATATGACTTCACATCATCAGGGTCCTTCATGACTACTTTGTCATGATGGTCCAATTCCCTAAAAATCTCAACCAACTCCCCATAATATTCAATTATAGGGTTCTATTATTTTGTTTTGTAGCGAATGTCCTTTGATTCAGGACAAACACCTGTAGCTCATCACTTCCATCATAAAACTCCTTTGGTAAAACATTCCAAATATCGAGGGCAATGGGTAAGCGAAGATACATTTTCATGATTTCTGGTTTCATGGACATCAATAGCCATCTTTTCACTTTTTGGTTTTCAGCATACCATTTTTCATATCCCTCATATTTCTCTATTGGAGGACTTTCACCTTCCCACGGATGTAGGACAATTTTTCCCTCTTTACAATGTGCATCTCCATTAGTTGTGAACATACGTCATAATTGGATTCATTTAGGATTATGCCTATGTTGAAGACACCTTCATATTGAACTACCACTGAAATTGGTTTTTCTGTCATCTCTCCATTTAAGATCTCCAAGGATTTAGAAAGAAAAAGAAAAAAAATTCTAAGCTCTGATACCAAATTAAAAAATATAGAATTCATTCTATATTTTTATTGATATTTCTTTTGGATACAAATATCATGTTCTTATAATATTTTACTCCTACAAAGCAGGACTAAATAAAGTAAGTTCTGATTATGCATTATTTTGTACAGCTATACAAACTTATAATTTAGCTAATTAAATATCTTCATCTCAACAATATATATCCTGGTTCATTTTTCTAATGATATTTCTTCCTGTGAAGTTGTAGCTCTAATCTATATCACACAATTTTTCTTTAAGAATTGGTTACTTCATTTTATATTCAATGACAAGAACATAAGAAATCAATTCAATTAATAAATATATCATCAAAATATACTATGTTTTTAAACCTCCTTATGAAAACTCTTTGAATTTTTTTTTCTATATCAATTGATGGTTAAACTAAAATGGTTAATAGATCTTATATCAACTCTTCACAAAACAACCCTAAGAATCTTAGAGAGTGAGAAGATTTCATTTCGCATTAGGAATTTGTTTATAACAAAGTTAGAACATTTACTAGTTAATTCTATATGGATTTAACATTTTAACTCCTCTTAATTTATTATCTTCTTCTAATTTTAGAATAGGAAAAACACAAGATGGGGAGTTAAATTATGATTTAAAGTTGTTTTTTTTAAGCTCATAGGATAAATATCTTTCCCTTTGAAAAATGTTAATAATAACCAAACTTAGATTTTGACAATAATGAAAAGTAATGAAATTATGTAGATAATGTTTTTTTAAGTGTTTAACAAACATACTTATCGTGATTCAATTTTAATATAAATATAAAAAACAAAAATAAAGTACAAATATTTTTATATTAGTTTATCATTACCACAAACTATATCGACCTTTTATCCAAACAAGTTTAGTTCAATTAAATTGTTCAATACAAGTCTTTTTCAGGTCACTCAACTTACAATATGAATAATCTTTTTATTAGATTGTCCAAGATATCCCAAGAGTATTCCTTAACATACTTTAGAAAGCTTTTTACAACAAGAGTATCTCGTAAGGCTCACGATGACTATATAACTCTTATAAGAATATACAAAAGATTTTATAGCTAAAGTTTTGTAAAGAAGAAATGAACAATAAAATAATTAAAATATGTACAATAGTTATTTTGTTTCTCCATGGCTTTTTATTTATTTATTTTATTTTATATTTATTTTGAACTTTTAAGAAGATTATAATTGGTCCAACTACTAGTCATTATGGTTTTTTCTTCTTCTTCTAACTTTGTTTCCTATAAGAGATAAATATTAAATAAATTTAACGTAGTTTTATCTTTGTTTGATAGTCCATGCTCCTTATCCGTCTTAACAAAAAAAAACTTTTTTTTTTCCAAAAAAACGATAATTTGCTATTGTGAACATATTTGGTGGTATTGACACAATAGATACTACAAGAAATTACACATTAATTATGACACATTCCATTACTAATCTTTTGCTAATACATTTTACGACAAATTAATTGTGGATTAGCTATGCAATAGTGCGTCTCCAAATAAAAGTAGTTAATTAGATAAAGATGTATTTTTTTATCAAATTTATAATAAATTTTATTGTCAATCTATCACTAAGTCCCTCATTA